AAGAGGAGGAGGAGGAGGCAGCAATGCTGTGCAGCAGCTGCGGGAACACACATCTTTGCACCCCTGCCTGGTGGGAGCGGGGGCGGGAGCTCAAGGGGGAATCTCAGGGGCTTGTCCTCTGTGTCATTGTCACCGTCTGCCCTGGTGGCGCTGAGGCTGTGTCTCCCCTGAAAGGACAGAGCTTTTAAGGACCCCACGGGCAGTCAGATCCTCGGTGATGGTAAAATGATGCTTTTAAAATGAATGGTGAGCAGTGGTTTGTCCCTGCTGGGATATCCCTGGCTGAGCTTCCCGGCAATGACAGCTGCAGGTAGAAATGGTCGGGGTGTCCTTAGAAAATGTGAAAAAAAAAAAATACAGCCCTGACCACTGGGGAGCTGGCCTCATTGCCCTGTCCTGGCTCCGTGTCTGCTGCGTTCAAATGACACGTACAGGAGGAAAAAGAAGCTGCAGCTCCCCCCGACAGAAACTGGCACGTTCCCTCCCTGCCTGCTCTCACCACCGGCTGGATGAAGCCCTGGGTGTCTCTGGGGATGGGATGGGGATCAGCATCCGCTGTTACGGCGGTCGGCACCGTTCCTTCCTGGGATGCATTTCAAACCTGACTGTTCTCCCCTTGACGATCGGCTCTTTTTTTCCCTGCTGGCTGGTGCCCAGCTCCCAGCAAACCTGCCTTAACCAGGCTGCAATCCCACATCCCCCATCCCCACAATCCTGTTGTGCCCCCAAGGTGCTGCCCAGAGCCTTTCCCACTCTTTTTGCCTTTGGGCAACTTGTTTTCTGAGGTGGCTTTGCTTTCTCTCCCTGAAAGCTAGCCCTTGGGCTGCATCTTCTTCTGGGCCATGGGGCAGGAGACCTGCAGGTCAGGGACCTGTGTTGGATTTGGCACTGGAAAGCATGGCGAGGCAAGGGAGAGGTTCAAACCGGGTGCCCCAACTTCTCAAACAGGTTTTGGCCCCTCTCTTAGGGTTTGGTTGCAGCTCCAGCCTTGGGAACTCTGGCTGGGATCTAGTGGTGGCACCTTCAGAGGGATTTCATGGGTCAGATCCTGCTGCTGGTGCAGGGTGCCAAGGCTGCTGGTGGGACACCTGGGTTGACTTTCAGCTTGGGAAGGCCATGGCATTGCCCAGCACCAGGACCCTTTCCTCTCCCTGAGCGGCCCTCAGGTGGAAGAACAAGTCCAAGTCCCCACTGTTGTGCTGAGCTTGCCCGTCTTGCAGGCGGGAGATGGTACAAGCG